AAATAACAAGGGGCAATAACTAAACAATTATGCAGGGTATAGTTATCGTTCTTGTGCACTGCACTCCTCCTCAATGAGATCCATCCAGCTATGAAGTTTCAAGTTGATACCTCAAATACTTTTTGAGATAAGCTCCGGACAAAATATTATGAAAAAGAACAAAGAGGAATAACTCAAAAATTGTATAGGGAAGAGTTATCATTCTTGTGCACAGCATTCCTCCTCAATAATATCTATCCACCTATGACATTTCATGTTGACATCTCAAACACTTTTGAGTTATGCTCCACTCGGGTGAAAAATTAGGTATGAAAAATAACAAAGGGCAATAACTCAAAAATTATGAAAGGTAGAGTTATCATTCTTGTGCACTGCACACCTCTTGAGTGAGATCTATGCACCTATGAAGTTTCATGTTGATATCTCAAAGGCTTTTTGAGTTATGCTCTGGACAAAAATTAATTTTGAAAAATAACAAAGGGCAATAACTAAAAAATTATGCAGGGTAGAGTTATCATTCTTGTGCACTGCACTCCTCCTCAATGTGATCCATCCAGCTATGAAGTTTCAAGTTGATACCTCAAATACTTTTTGAGATAAGCTCAGGACAAAATAGCATGAAAAAGAACAAAGGGCAATAACTCAAAAATTGTATAGGGAAGAGTTTTCATTCTTGCGCACAGCATTCCTCCTCAATAAGATCTATCCACCTATGACATTTCATGTTGATATCTCAAACACTTTTTGAGTTATGCTCCACTCAGGTGAAAAATTAAGTATGAAAAATAACAAAGGGCAATAACTCAAAAATTATGAAAGGTAGAGTTATCATTCTTGTGCACTGCACACCTCCTGAGTGAGATCTATGCACCTATGAAGTTTCATGTTGATATCTCATAGGCTTTTTGAGTTATGCTCTGGACAAAAATCAATTTTGAAAAATAACAAAGGGCAATAACTCAAAAATTATGCAGGGTAGAGTTATCATTCTTGTGCACTGCACTCCTCCTCAATGAGGTCTATCCACCTATGAAGTTTCAAGTTGATAACTCAAATACATTTAGAGATATGCTCCGGACAAAAATGTTGGACGGAAGGTCGGACGGACGGAGACTTTTGCGGCGGGGGATAAAAATATAATTATTCTAACGTAAATCCATATGCCTTAGATTCACTCAGCAATTTTGTCGAAAATCTATTCAATTTTTGTGAAGATATTGAATGAAAAGAGACTCAGGCTCAAAGCAATTAATTTTCATTCAAAGTCATTCAAAGATACTCACACTTAGATCGATCTAATATAATTTCTTATAGTTGTGTTCATACAGTTTGTACATTTAGACATGAATGCAATTAAAGTTTGTACAAATAATCACCGACTTTGTAGTGACACAAGGTTTGGTGACAGCTTACATTATAACACTCAGGGCTCATCCTGGGGGGAAATTTTAGGGAGAAGTGACTTCCTCGCGAAAATTAGGGAGAATGGAAACAACCCAATGTGTATGCATTAACATGCATGGCTATACATCCTTTAATTATAATATAAACACAATTAACATCACATATAATATTTCTCCAGTTTATTAATAAATAGTAGATTAATTAATAGTAGATTAATTAATAGTAGATCTGGCAATGACATCTAACTGTTTTTGAGCTGCAAATATGAATAAAAAAAATTATTTTTGATATCTATTGATCAGCTATTTATAAGCTTTCTCTAAATATGTGTTTATATATTTTCATGTAGATTTGTTGATAATAATGTGTAAGAAATGATATGATGATAAAATCAATTATATATTTTTTACTTTCCTGACTTTTAATAGAAGATGTAGTCACTTTGGATATTGATTTATAATATCTGTTCTATTCCGTTCTGGTGACAGAATTTTCTTTCCAGTTCCAAACTGTTGTAATGTCACATTTATATGCATATAATTATGCTTATAAAACAATTTTCAAACATCAAAGAATATGTAAAATATGTACTGCAAACATTTGTGCACATTATATTTGATCACTAAAATTACATACATTCATTTCTTATTGAAAAATTTGACTGAGAAATTGTAGAAAATTAATTTCTAATTACCTCCCTTTATTTTCATGAAATGTTAAATTCGGTAATATCTTTATATAGAATAATTTGGCATTTCGCCTTGTGGCCATGACGTGAGCGACATAACAATTTTACAGTAAAAATTGATGTTAACAGACTGAAATCATTCAAGACTATGATTAAGATTTAAATCCTTAATGAAATTGATTATTTTTAATTGACTAAAAGTTTTGTGATAGCCGTGAAAAATCAATTGCACATCGCCTTTACTCGGGTTAAAAACCCGCCATCGAAGTGCATCGTGTATATCAGAAGATTGCACATGTTTAGATAATCGGGAAAAAACAATCTATAATTATCGCCAACTCGCAAAACTACCACACAATTATACCGTTTCGGGCCGATGCTCTCATTATTTACTGTTTAGAGTAGGCGGTCTATCGCTTTGCTTACAGGTAGAAGGGTAGTATAAAGCGACGCTCTGATTGGATAATGATAATTAGCGGTCGTCATATGGGCGGATACAATCTCTGCTCTTTACATCGCTAAGTAATTACTATTTGGGAATTAAGATTTTATCGGCGATGTTGACTTCTCTTTGATCAATCGGGAGAGCGAAATTGGAATATACACGGCGAAGTTTTCGCCTGAATCGCCCTTCCGGATGAGCCCTGACACTATAATGCTTCAGACATGGGGATGATGCATGACTCATCCAACATCGTTTTTCATTTGAGTAAAGCATAAACAGATTTGAAATAAGTATTTTACTGATCATGGATGATGCTAATAATTTTTATAAGTAAAGATAATACTATCAGATTTCATAATTTTCAACAATACGGAAAAGCAACACTTTAAAATAATCATTATCTAATGGCTTTATGAAAATTACCCCACCCACTATGTCAATAGTGCGAAACGTCAAAAACGTGGATACGTTCTACGAAATGACTTCCATAACTTACAAGAGAAGAACATAATTTACAAATTATTTGATTTCTAAAGTTTCAAGACGTTTCATTACCTCTTCGTATCAGCCCATCCAAATGGCAGAAAATAAATAATCAAAATCGTCTAAATTTTCATAAACACTGTCAACTTTCAACCGGAAGCGAAATAAATTTTAAAAGGGAGTGTACTCTGTGAAAATAAAAATGCAATCTCGTACGCAGTAATCCCCCTTAGCAGTACAGGGAAACTGCCAAGGGAGGTAATCACTGCGAGAAGTTTTTCGCTACTCTTGTAAGAGTAATTCCCCTTTTATCACGGCTAAGGTGGTGATGGTCAAACCTCACAGGATTGTGTCGAATTGTGGGGAGGTAAGTAACAGAGCTGATGTTGCATCTCTACTCTAGAGTTTGCCAGTTAAGATCTTGTAACATCAATGGTTCGATGACTTATTAATCATGGACACTGGATTAGTATTCCGGGGGTCCCTGGTTCGTTGACTAATTGAACATGCACCCGGGGGTCCCTTGTTCGATGACTAATTGAACAATGACACTGGATTAGTATTCCTGGTGTCCTTGGTTTGATGACTAATTAAACAATGACACTGGATTAGTATTCCGGGCGTCCCTGGTTCGATGACTAATTTAACAGGGGCACTAAATTAGTATTCCAGGGGTCCCTGGTTCGTTGACTAATTGAACATGAACTCTGGATTAGTAGCCCAGGGGACCCTGGTTCGTTGACTTATTGAACATGGACTCTTGATTAGTAGCCCAGGGGTCCCTGGTTCGTTGACCAATTGAACATGGACTCTGGATTAGTAGTCAAGGGGTCCCTGGTTCGTTGACTATAATTGAACAGGGAATCTGGATTAGTAATCCAGTTCACTGGTTCGATGACTAATTGAACATTTACACTTAGTCTAATGGTCATTTGTTTTTCACCGCTGAAATTCCCTCTTTGTGGATGTAAAGAATTTTATGAAAACATTGAAAACCTGTTCACTGCTAAAAGGTGGTCATTGTACTTCGATCTTTGTATTGATGTGTGGTATATCATACAAACATATACGTTTGTGTTCATTTTATTTAAAAAAAAATAAGAAAAATGATTCAAGCGTGTATTATAAGTGCTTAGGGCGGAATTTTTGCGCTCATTGAATTATTGCCTTTTATTTATTTATCTTTTTTATGGAAAAATCATAATGTAAAAGCTTGTGGCTTTTTGTTGTTATAAATAACATGATCTCTTAAAAATTCTCTTCATAAAACTACTACATGTATATGTAATTGATAAATCTGGACGGCACTATAGCATTATGTTTAAAGATAGCTTATTCAAAATCCATATGTTTATCCCCTATTGTATTTGAATTTATAACATATCTATATTTATCACAAAGATGATTGCTATTTAGAGAAAAACAGATCTGTTGCCAAATTTTTGTACAGACATAATATTGGAATATGAATAATCTTTTGAATCCAACAAATTAAATAACGAACGTGTCACACAAAGAAGCTTCAATACTTATATATACAGCATTTTAACATAAAACATTTCAGTTGATATCTAATAGTCTCAGTATAGAGTTCTATACATTTAAATCGAATCGTTCGCTTATTTGTTGTAGTTTATTTGTTCGGATAATTGTGTGTTCATGGCTTTTAAAAAATAGATAAAACTTTAAATGAACACGATTTAAATAGTGGATCGATATAATGAAATAATCTGAAATGTTTATTTGATAACTTCAGCAAAGGAAAAAGCATGCGAAAAATAGTAGGCGGATTGTAAACGGATTAAAGTAGTGAGTGACTTTTAGCACATATTGTTTAACACTTATAATGCGTTTAATGTAACATTGTGATCACTTTGTGGTTAAAATACTACTTATGTGACGTTGTGATCAATGTGTGGTTAAAATACTACTTATGTGACGTAGTGATCACTGTGTGGTTTAAATACCATTATTGTAACGTTGTGATCACTTTGTGGTTAAAATACTACTTATGTGACGTTGTGATCACTTTGTGGTTAAAATACTACTTATGTGACGTTGTGATCACTGTGTGGTTAAAATACGTTTAAAGAAACGTTGTGATCACTGTGTTGTTAAAATACGTTCAATGTAACGTTGTGATCATTTTACTGTTATTGTAACCTGACCAATAAGAAAGCAGTCCGACAATTCTGGAGACAATTGTAAATGAAAGCCAACATGAAAGAAGAGACCAGGTTTGCGCAGTCAGATGGTTTGACGTCAAGTATAGTGTTCTTAGTCGAGAACCGGAAACTGTACGCCTCTAAGGAGGTGCTGGCTCTGTGCTCACCCGTGTTCAGGAACATGTTCGAGTCCGATTTCCGGGAGCGACTAGCCGACTGTATACCTCTTCCAGGAAAATGCTACAAAGAATTAGTAGAATTTCTTCTATGTCTCTACCCCGACACACAGAAACCGCTGTCTGGTAAGAAATGGAGGTTGGACTTACAAAGTTCATGTTTTCTTAGGTTGAATCGGTTTTAAGCAGCGCACCTCCAGATTTATGTCACTTTATGCTTTAATTTGTAAAAATGTCAAACGTAAGCAGAAAGTATTCTTCCATAGCGAACGACAAATATTTTATTGTTCTAAAGTTTGCTGTTTTGAAAATTGATTTTAACGTATATGGAGGCGTGTCGCTTTAATATTCATAAACCGCCTATTATTTTGTTTTAAAAAAAGAATAGAAATAGTTTTAGGCGGTTACGGTAGAGGCTGAATTTATATATATGACATATGGCACACAGTCATTTTTGTAAAAACAAGATCTTTAACTCTTTAAATTAATGTGAATGTAGGACAAAACCCCACGAGTCAAAACCCCAAACCTCAAAATTTTATAGAGTGAACAACACACCTCACAGAAGTTTTATAGCGTAGACAGTACCCCAATTTCCCTACAATGGTGAATGGGTTTGTCCGGATTGAAAGATGGACAAGTCTATTCTAGAAATTGGGCGTGGTAAGGTTAGTCTACAAAACCTTAAATTACAAAGTCCACCTAACATAAACATAGTTACTAGTAATTTACAGAACTCAGGTTCACAAATTGACAACGATAGGACTGTCAATGATAAGAAAACAAACACATTCATTATAAAATGTCATTGATATGGCTGACCATGGTAAGGGGACACATTCATTATAAAATGTCATTGATATGGCTGACCATGGTAAGGGGACACATACTTCAGCGATATAAAATATCACGATATAAAGACATGCATTACAAAATGCCACCTATATGACTGACCATGAAAAGGCAACGGACATTTATTACAAAATACCACTGATATGACTGACCATGGTAAGGAAACAAAGACTTTTATTAAAAATTGCCATCAATGTGACTGACCATGGTAAGAAAATAAATACATTTATTCCAATGCCACAAATGACTTACCATGGTAAGGAAACAAAGACTTTTATTAAAAATTGCCATCAATGTGAGACTGACCATGGTAAGGAAAACAAAATACTTTTATTAAAATTGCCATCAATTATGACTGACCATGGTAAGGAAACAAAGACTTTTATTAAAAATTGCCATCGATGTGACTGACCTTGGTAAGGAAAACAAAAGACTTGGGACTATTAAAAAAAAAAAATTGCCATCAATGTGACTGACCATGGTAAAGAAACAAGACTTTTATTAAAAATTGCCATCAATGTGACTGGACCATGGTAAGGAAACAAAGACTTTTATTAAAAATTGCCATCAATGTGACTGACCATGGTAAGGAACAAAAGACTTTTATTAAAAATTGCCATCAATGTGACTGACCATGTAAGGAAACAAAGACTTTTATTAAAAATTGCCATCGATATGACTGACCATGGTAAGGAAACAAAGACTTTTATTAAAATTGCCATCAATGTGACTGACCATGGTAAGGAAACAAAGACTTTTATTAAAAATTGCCATCAATGTGACTGACCATGGTAAGGAAACAAAGACTTTTATTAAAAATTGCCATCAATGTGACTGACCATGGTAAGGAAACAAAGACTTTTATTACAAAATTGCCATCAATGTGACTGACCATGGTAAGGAAAACAAAGACTTTTATTAAAAATTGCCATCGATATGACTGACCATGTAAGGAAACAAAGACTTTTATTAAAAATTGCCATCAATGGTGACGACCATGGTAAGGAAACAAAGACTTTTATTAAAAAATTGCCATCAATGTGACTGACCTTGGTAAGGAAACAAAGACTTTTATTAAAATTGCCATCGATATGACTGACCATGGTAAGGAAACAAAGACTTTTATTAAAAATTGCCATCAATGTGACTGACCATGGTAAGGAAACAAGACTTTTATTTAAAAATTGCCATCGATATGACTGACCATGGTAAGGAAACAAAGACTTTTATTACAAAATTGCCATCAATGTGACTGACCATGGTAAGGAAACAAGAACTTTTATTAAAAATTGCCAACGATAAGACTGACCTTGGTAAGGAAACAAAGACTTTTATTAAAAATTGCCATCAATGTGACTGACCATGGTAAGGAAACAAAGACTTTTATTAAAAATTGCCATCAATGTGACTGACCATGGTAAGGAAACAAAGACTTTTATTATTAAAATTGCCATCAATGTGACTGACCATGGTAAGGAAACAAAGACTTTTATTAAAAATTGCCATTAATGTGACTGACCATGGTAAGGAAACAAATACTTTTATTAAAAATTGCCATCAATGTGACTGACCATGGTAAGGAAACAAAGACTTTTATTAAAAATTGCCATCCGATATGACTGACCATGGTAAGGAAACAAAGACTTTTATTAAAAATTGCCATCAATGTGACTGACCATGGTAAGGAAACAAGACTTTTATTACAAAATTGCCATCAATGTGACTGACCATGGTAAGGAAACAAAGACTTTTATTAAAAATTGCCATCAATGTGACTGACCTTGGTAAGGAAACAAAGACTTTTATCAAAAATTGCCATCGATATGGACTGACCATGGTAAGGAAACAAAGACTTTTATTAAAAATTGCCATCAATGTGGGACTAGAACCATGGTAAGGAAACAAAGACTTTTATTAAAAATTGCCATCAATGTGACTGACATTGGTAAGGAAACAAAGACTTTTATTACAAAATTGCATCAATGTGACTGACCATGTAAGAAACAAAGACTTTTATTAAAAATTGCCATCGATATGACTGACCATGGTAAGGAAACAAAAGACTTTTTATTACAAAATTGCCATCAATGTGACTGACCATGGTAGGGAAACAAAGACTTTTATTAAAAATTGCCATCAATGTGACTGACCTTGGTAAGGAAACAAAGACTTTTATTAAAAATTGCCATCGATATGACTGACCATGGTAAGGAAACAAAGATTTTTATTAAAAATTGCCATCAATGTGACTGACCATGGTAAGGAAACAAAGACTTTTATTAAAAATTGCCATCAATGTGACTGACCATGGTAAGGAAACAAAGACTTTTATTACAAAATTGCCATCAATGTGACTGACCATGGTAAGGAAACAAAGACTTTTATTAAAAATTGCCATCAATGTGACTGACCATGGTAAGGAAACAAAGACTTTTATTAAAAATTGCCATCAATGTGACTGACCATGGTAAGGAAACAAAGACTTTTATTACAAAATTGCCATCAATGTGACTGACCATGGTAAGGAAACAAAGACTTTTATTAAAAATTGCCATCGATATGACTGACCATGGTAAGGAAACAAAGACTTTTATTAAAAATTGCCATCAATGTGACTGACCATGGTAAGGAAACAAAGACTTTTATTAAAAATTGCCATCAATGTGACTGACCTTGGTAAGGAAACAAAGACTTTTATTAAAAATTGCCATCGATATGACTGACCATGGTAAGGAAACAAAGACTTTTATTAAAAATTGCCATCAATGTGACTGACCATGGTAAGGAAACAAAGACTTTTATTAAAAATTGCCATCAATGTGACTGACCATGGTAAGGAAACAAAGACTTTTATTACGAAATTGCCATCAATGTGACTGACCATGGTAAGGAAACAAAGACTTTTATTACAAAATTGCCATCGATATGACTGACCATGGTAAAGAAACAAATACATTTATTCCAATGCCACAAATGACTTACCATGGTAAGGAAATAGAGACATTCATGACAAAATGCCCATGCCAGAGAGACCATGGCACGGAAAACAAGATATTCATCACAAAATACCACCATTATGACTTACCATGGTAAGGAAACAAGGCCTTTTATTACAAATTGCCATCGATGTGACTGGCCATGGTAAGGAAACAGACTTTCATTACACGATGCCACCGATATGACTGTCAATGGCAAGGAAACACGTGACTTTCTTCACAAAATACCACCTTTATTTAACTGACCATGGCAAGGAAATAGAGACGAGAATTGTAAATTCGTAGAACAATAAAAAAAGATTTTTTGTCTTTGATTCTAATTCTTAACTTTACTTTGTTTTATTTACTAACAAATCCAATGAAAAATGAAAAAAAAATGACATGTACATGGTAACAGGATAGGGGCATAGTTTAATATTGTTTTATTTTATATAACGTCGTTCGTTCGTTCGTTCGTTCGTTCGTAGAATTAGCAATAAAATGAACTACCAATTATAATTTTTTAACGGGTCATTTCCTGCCAAGTCACAATAAAGGGAATTTCTTATGTAAAATCCTTGTTCAACAGAAACAAGAATTATGCTATGTCATTACTCTTAGTAATTCATTACTCAAACATTTACCACAAAATATGATCCATTCCCTCTTTTTTCTCACAGAATAAGTTTACGTATATTTAGTGTTTATGCTATTATAATTTATCGGTCAAATCATTAATGCTTTGTTTGAGAAAACAAATGGGAATGTCATATAATATGGTAAACACAGGGACTATAGGACATCTTAAGATCATCTTAATCAGACATCAAGGTGTTGGTTTACTTAAAAGCTTTGAAAACAATACGGTCTCTTGCCAAGTTTTCGGTCATTGCCAAAGGTAATAATTAACGAATTAATTAATTGCGCGTGCTTATAACTGCACGTGCACATAAGCTTAACTTGATATTATCGGTATCTTGCTACTCAAGGCTGCGGATTATTATCCTGGTCCTGCCATAGAAGTGTTTACAATTTGTAAAAAAGAAAAGATATCCAACTAATTTCCGGCTCTCGATTGGAATATAATGTACACTCAGGCCTACTCCACGCGCACCTTTAGCACATTTGTGTTTCGTTTCATATCAGGTGTGCAAATTCTCTTGATATATCATTAATAGAAAAGTAAAGATAACCACCTCCCTCGAATTTTCTAAGATTTTACACACAATAGGACCATCGGAAATCTCACAACTGATTTAAAGGGAAACGCCAATGGTGCTCAACTTGTGCGTTGAACAGTCGTGAATACAGAAATGTTTCCAAAGATACAGGTGATTTTGAATTTGATATACATAATGACATGTTGTCTGAAACTTTTACATCTGATTTCTAAGATAAGTACATGTATATACATGTTTTATTCGTATGTCGCCGGAACCCTTTAGCGAATGTCATAAATTGGCCGAGAAGATGCGAATAAATGCAATAATGTACAAAGGTATGCCAATATAGCTATGTCGAACATAAAAATATTCTGCTTACATAAAGTACAAATTCAGAATAGTATTGAACTCTAAGCAATATATAAACATTTTATACAGAAAAAGTTATAAATTAGAAAGTTAAAAGTAAAAATACATTTTTCTTATAAAATAGTTTCTTCACTCAGAGTCCTATCGTGTTAAGTTAGTCATTGATTCAGAAGAATTGTTCAAATATTTGAATAAAAATCGTCCCCAGTTTTTCTTTTCAAAATGTTTTTCATTAAATTGCCACTTATCTACAACCTTCGTCAAAAGTGAAGCCTATACAATTACTCGACCTTCACATAATTCAGTCTTCAACGAAAACAAATCAAGACCATATAGGCATATGTAATGAATGAAAGAAAATAAAATGTACTATCCCTGAAATCTCGCTTAAATTGATATGAGGACGAACGTTATATGTATCTTGCAATTAACATATAAAAAGCCCATTTTGCATTAGATTTTTTTTTTATTTCTCGAAAGCTTTTTACTTTTAATGTATCCAAAAAGTTACTCATTGACCAATTATTTGAACCATCTTTTTCATCTCTTGCTTTTTGGCAAAACCAACAGTTAAAGTGAAATAGTATTTTGCATGGAAGTCAAAATACTACTTTGTTTACATTTTGCTACTTTTATGAGGAACTATTTCAATTTATCGCTACTTTCTTCAGATAATAAGCATCTAACACTCTCTAAAATCATAATTCAAACATAAAAAAGTCATGTTTGCCCTTTCTAAAGAAGTGAAAACGTATTTTTCTGAGGCTTTATATGCCTTTAACACTTGTTTATTTCGCTTTTAAATGTTATGTTTTTGTTCTGCGTATTGTGTTTTTTCTATAACGTAAAACTTATTGTCTGGAAAGTCATAAGACATTTTCGGAAAATTCCTTGACCGGCCCGATCCCTTGCCGCCTTCCCCTCTCACGAAGCCTGAATGTTCTTATCCGATATTTACTCTTAGTGTGCTAGTGGCAACTGAATACATGTACTCGTATACCAATCCGACCAGTGCAGACCAAAGTAAGCCAGTACGTGATCATGATAAGCAATGTTCGCTATTCAGTTAGTACATACTGAGAGTTGACCGCAAATCTGTTGCAAGGCTTTCTTTATTTCATATATAAGTTACTGTAGTTTTTGCAGTCAACCCATGATACATATATAAATTTACCTAAAATGACGAATGGTATTAAACAAGTTCATTTAAGATATGAGCCGCATCACGACAAAACAAGCATAATGGGTTTGCGACCAGCATTGATCCAGACCAGCCTGCGCATCCGCACAGTCTGATCAGGATCCATGCTGTTCGCTTACGAACTCTATAACATGTTGAGAAACTGATAGCGAACAGCATGGATCCTGATCAGACTGCGCGGATGCGCAGGCTGGTCTGGATCCATGCTGGTCGCAAACCCATTATGTTGGTTTTGTCGTCACGCGGCTCAATTATTTAGTGTGGTGAAGATTAACTAGAAATGTTAACTACATTAAATGATAACGTAATCCTACATACGTTTTTTTTTAATTTTGTTATTACACCTTACATTGTCGATATGTTTATGCCATTTGTTGGTCCCAATCAGCATTCTTATCTTTTAATACTCGAGACAAACATTTTCATGTTCATAAAAAAATCTAAAAATAAATGCAAAATGGCATTAACGTTTACGTAAATCAATTTTTCTATTGTTTAATTTGGAGCCAGTCCAATCTTTTCGAAGGGTTTGTCTTATTTTTGTCTATTAAATAATGAATATCTATCAAAATGTTTTACCGAAATACGTATTGTTCCTACATTTGAACAAGGCATACTCCAATCTCTATGGTGGCGTTTACTATGCCATGTAAGTTTTCGATTGAAGGGCAAAAACTCATTAAACTAAAATGAATATTGTGTCGTGTTTTGACAGTTTCCTTTCCCTAACCATTCCACCACACAAAACAAATGTATAATTATGGCGTATTTATAAATATGCCGCTTTAATGTTGGCTGAATCACACCATATAGTACATTCGCATTCTCGACGTGAAAAAGCAAAAGGACGACATAATTGGATGGATAGATAGACGTGTCATGTGTTCGCCTCTAATTTGTCGTGACTTTACATTTTCGCGTTTTCAAATTTATGTTGGTCTTTTCTTTTTTTTTTTTTTTCATTTTCGCCTTTGCGCATCGTCGCATTACGGTTACTCACTTGTAGATTTATTGCAAATTTGCCATATGTCATATAGCACGAGACATGGATTCAGTTTAAGCGAATATGTTAATTAATTTCTGAAACTACAATGGTCAGAATAATATAAATATATGCATCACATTTTGCAAGGTCTCTCCGTTGCGCATGTGCTTGTACAGCTGGAAAGCGAAAATGCGACAATTCTTTTAGGCAATTTTTATATTGTATATTCATCATCTGTATTTATCAATTTTTAGGTCATTTACTTTTATGGTAGACAATCTTTTGAGATATATTATAGCTAATTCAGCTCAACATGACAAATGACAACTGACAATTTATCAACTCCTGATCCAAGCATGGGACATTGTTTCTCCAATCGCTAGGAAAACTGTGAGTTAAAAAAGAAACTACGAAAGTCATCAATACTACTTACATATTCATTATTAATCAACTTAAATAAATTTGACACATGTATATATTATATATCATTTTTGCTTTCAGATGAAACAGTTTTTCCTATATTTAGTCTGGCGGATGAATATCAGGTAGACATATTACTCCATAAATGCGAGGACTATTTGTTGTCAAAGTGCAATGACAAAAATACCCCCATGACCGCGTTGGTCAATATATTAATATGTGCGGAACAATACAATCTGAAGAAACTGTTCAACGCAGCGTTTGATAGAGTTTCTAAAATTCATCCAGATGATGTGAAATCTGTACCGGAGTATGTAAAACTTCACGAAGACACGAGGAAAACCTTTAAAAAGCTAAGAGAACAAGCACTAGACGTAAATCTAACAGGTGTGTATCTATACAAATATCTGACTGTGAAGAACTGATGTGGAATGTATGGAATCATATAATATCGTATAAGGAAGTTATTATTTTTGGCATTAGTTTAAACACATTAATATTTTGCTAAATTTTGATAAAATATAGTTTATTTGGTCCACTCACGAGCCCGCTGATTGGAACGAACCGATACTAGTGGGATTCAATGTCTTCGAACAAATTATCCACCATGTCTCATTGCCTGTAGCTGGGTGTATATACCAGGTTCATAATAACTACGGATCATCATACAATGATATACCACGATTACACTGTCGCCCCTTCATATATTTAAGACATTTTTATTCATTATTGATTTAAATACTAGTACTCTTTAGAAGTTCAGGAAACTTGTTCCTACATAGCAAGAATGCGTGTTCCTCATTTCTGTTTAATACAAATAATTCTTATGAATATGCTCATACGTGCCGGCAATTTACATACTGATGTGTATCTTTCTTACTAACATTGGATCACCAACTTGAAAAACCTGTTTTAGTTTATAAATAAACGGCAAATGCCAGAGTTTATTTATGCAATATTTACCAGCGTAGAAAACAAAATAAGGAAATTATAAACTTCATTACCTCTTTACCACTAGCAAGTGTTTGGCCTTTTTTGGTTTATACAGAATTTATTTTAGTTCGATTGTGCAGGAAGCTATAAGCTTTTATACAAATTATTGAATCCGTTCCTGGAACCAACCAGTACTGAGCAATGAGTGTAAAGTTTTTTGCTCAAGGAAACAACGACTTGCCTCTGTCAGGGTTTGAACCCATGCGGCTAGCGATCATTTGATTACTAGTCCGAAGCGTCAACCACTCGGCCATGCCGCCACTTTTTGCCTTTTTCAATACATATTTAACGTTATGTTTTATCTATTACAGACGGCAACGTTCATGACGTATTGCGTATTGCCGTAGATTACAACGAGAAAGACCTCATTAATAAATGTGAGAATCACATGATTCAAAGATGTAAGAAAACGGAAAAACCTCTCATTCATGGACTTGTCAGTATGCTCAGTGCCGCTGACAAACATAAACTGACAAAATTGAAAGAGGAAGTTCTAGAACTGGCAATAAAAAGGAAATCACATGAACTCGAGGCGTCGCCCATATTTAAAAATTTGGCACCGGAAACGAGTCGCAAGGTTTTATCGAAGAGATTGAAAGTGTTTGAAGGGTTATATTCAAAGTTGTGTAAAGTGCGGTGTCATTGTTGTAGAAAACACGCTGATTATAATTGTAAAATATGTTTTATTTCAACGACTAAAGAGTGTTTTGATTCCCTTGGAATGTGCTTTTGATAAATCATCATTTTAACTTTTAATAGGGAGTTGTGTGGCAGGGAAGGGAAGATTGGGCGAGGTTCTTGGAGAAAACTCATCCCAATCACGAGCAATTTCATGTTTAATGTGCTTTAGCTAATATTTTTTAAACATGTACTTTTAAAAAGAACGGAGGCTTCTTGTTAAGTGCATTATTATGCTGATCATTGAAAATCAAAATTATTCATTAAAATTAATAAAGAATGGGTTTCAATTATTTTTTCTCGATTTTGAACTGAACATACATATAACTAAAGTTTTCATCCTTCTTAATCAACCATCAAACCTGTTAATTATTTATGAATACATTTTATACCTTACTGTCATGGTTTAAAAAGACCCCAATCTGACTAAAGTACAGATCTACTAAACTTATAAGTTACTTCCTTCGTGTAGCTAATTAGGAGCTGATTTTAATCAGATTGGAAAGATCCTTTTAATATAAAATATTTTTTATAATATAAATGTACAGTATATTTGTAAAGTCTATTCATATGTTTACGCTGTATCAAATAAAAAAAAATCAATGATAAACTAGAAATGTGTTCATAGGACACGGATGTCCCCACTATCACGTGACGTACAACAGGACAGAATGACAGTGTGACATACAAAGGAATGTCTACATGACTCCCCCTACCCATAAGTAGATGGGCATAAAAACGACATCCATTTTTTCCTTTGTTGACATCTTGATTTTTCTCCACCGCATGCAGATGCACAACTACACATGCGGACCAACATTTCTGTAAAATTTCATGACTGTAGGTCAAACGCTTTTTGACACAACTTGAAATTAGCGAAGTCAAGGGAAATATTTCTGACAAAACTAGATAAAACCACACGCACAAACCACATGCTAATCAACAACATTCTTGTAACGTTTGTTGACTCTAGCTTTAGCACTTTAAGAGGTGTACATGTGACACAACATGAGAACGAACGCACAAATGACAACCCGCTCCCCACAAAAATAAAAAAAAACATACAAGAAACATCGCGATGCCATGAAACTAGGCTTTAAAAAAGATTGTACTCCACGCTATTACGCATTATTGGTTGAAAATCATTCAAAAATCAAGGTTAATTTGAATTACTCATCACGATGGTTTGGTTTGTCGAAATGTGATTTCAAATTTGATTAATTGTTAAAGTAAATTAGTCTATAATTCAAGGTATGTAATACAATAGATAATTACTATGACAGTATGACAACAAACCACGACAGAATTATATATGGATGTTGTTGGCAAGTGTGAGATACATGATTTGATATTACATATTAGTATTTATATAGCAGACCTTAAAATCTTCTTGAAGAAAATACTATTATTGATCCAATAAATGTTCATTCTTAATCATTTTTAACCTTATCAAAAACTTACTTTTAAAGCATCATTTTATAAGAATATTTTTTTTATTTAATGATATTTTTCTATTGTTTTTAAAAATATTTGAAGTACTTATATACCGGTATACAGTTTACGACGAACATAGCTTACCCGTGAGCTGTATACGTTAGTTTGATAAGTATACAGCTTACGGAGAGCTATATTCGTAAATTGACAACGTATACAGCTAACGTAAGCTGTATAAGTCCAATTGCGAAAAGGAACTCGTATATTGTCTAAACGGATTCATTATTTCTGTTATCATTTAGTTTACTCATTTGGTAGGTAAACCATTTTCTATTTTGACCCTCGGAGTCCAATAGGTTGCTACATACCAAGTTGGATTCTTAACTCTATTTATCGACCGGAAACCATCACGCTCACAAACCACCCAGCCACCCGCTATTCGCCAATCTAATGTCTAGGATGTTCAAAATTGAAAACCAAGTTGCATAATAATCCACGTATTAACAACCAAGGGAGGTAATCAATACGGATTTTAATCAGTGATTTACAAAATGATTAAGGCCTCAAAGGCGAACGGCTGTAAACAGAGGAAGAGGGGAAATGGCAAAAATTTACAAAGAAGATACATTGTTAATAGTTGTATATAAATATCTTTATTATAAACTGAGTCACTATCACTGACAAAGACTTCGGGACAATATCACGGACAAAAACCTACACATCACATGAATAAATAAAATATAAGTATGAATGTATAAGAAAGGCGTATTGAGGCAACCAATAAATTGCCGTCGTCAAGAATGTAGAACAAAACATTACGGCGGGAAAATGTCGTCGGCATAAACAAATTAATATAAATTTTAATATATAATATTCATGAATAAACTATCTAATCATTAAGTGAGCAAAAAATAGTGTAATACAAATTTTGTAAGTACATGAATGTCAAAAAATATCTTTAGAATTAATAAACATAATTATTTAACATATACAACTACAGGAAATGAAATATAGGTCTATTAATCAAATAAAGTTCATTTAAAATATTTAGAGGGTTAATGGGTCAAAGGGCGACGTTTCTAGAAGTCGGATGTTCACATTAATTCACCTACAACTATCACAATGAACATTTACAATATTGTAATTATGCGTTTTGTAACAAACAAAGTACCTAAAACGTACTTTATTTGTACATCCTGAAATAGTATTCTGATTATACAATAATTAATATACAAGTTTAGCACTATTTTAGTACTAACATAATTTCACATTATAAGTTTCACACTTTCTCAAATTCATATAGATCTATACACATTCTTCCTTGAGATATTTCATACTGTTATTTCAAATATTTTTGAACCGATATCTGAACACACCTCCGAAAATTAAAATCAATCGTCATCACGATCACGCTTCCTCGTCCTCTTGCAGACGTTCGAGTAGCCCTAATTCTTGTATGGCATGATACTGGTCAGGAATTTCCATCAGCGCGTGCAGTGCAAACGCTGTTTGTCTGTTTCGCGCGTGACTTACTACGTCATGAAAATCTAAAAACTGAAAATTATCAAAAGTTCTTTTGGGCAATCTCGTATCAAATTCTTTCATCATTCCCCATGGCCCGTCTCCAACACCGACGCAAATAATTGAGAGTGGGTAGTTTGATGCATCAACAATAGCTTGAATGGTGTCCTCCTCCGCGTTAACTTGTCCGTCTGCTGCGATAACAAGTATATGGTACTGAAATACAAAACGGTCAAGAGAGATAACTAGTATAATTTGGAACTAAAAAGTCTGACTTTTAACCTGCTAAATTTATGTAATGGCTTTGCATTTCTTTTAATCAAGAACAGTCCATTCAAATTTTAAAGGATTACAAAAGCAACATACACAAATTGAAATAACAACAGAGTTACAGAATAGAGTTGGTCTGACTATGTACAAAGAAATGCAAGCAGATCTGGTTCTACACTGGTGGTAAAAGATAATAGCTTTCGGTATTTATGATGTTTTAGAGTCCATAAAAGGTCAGAAAATAGGCAACGAGATGAAAGCACATAATTATACAAAATTACTGTAATTACTAATGCTAAAAAAAAACAACGCTTATACTATCGAGTTTCTCTTTCTGACTGGTTAGCACTATTGTCTTCTGAGAAAAATCCTTTTTACATATCCAAAGAACTCAAAATCAATTTCAATATTTGCTATGGAAATGCGTCAGTTTCAAAATTTCATGACTTTCAATGACATAAGCATGGTTTTCGTGCAAATGTTCGGTCCAGTCTTAATATTGTACTATATGCACTTGATTAGGAAAAATACTTGTAGCTTATTTCAACCACTCCCTGGAGCTAACCAGTCTAAGGGTCATATAAGACATCATGGGAGTGATCACCGCGTTTGTGAGACAAAATGTTTGGTAAAATACTCACCTTTTTAGATTGTTTAACGATGTTTATGGCTTTCCGGATAAGCGGTGCAAAGTTTGTTGGTCTAAAGAGTTTAATATCAGGTGTTATCCTGTTGTATGTTTGTAAAACTTCACGGAATCCTACACATGAGCCCTGAAATGAAGTTAATAACTAATCATGCATAAATTTAATTTGGTAAAAACTTCTGGAAGACTTGGAATTGAAGCTTCTTTGACGTAAATATATAGGTTTTTAAAATTCTGTGTTGTCCGTCTTTATTTTCTCAATGATATGAGTTGAAATTCAGACTTTTTATTCTTCAGTTCTATATACCCGGCCAATAGATATGAGTTATCACTCTATATAGACTTCCATTAAACGCATCTAAAGCTAGCATGTTTCGGTCTATATAATAATTATAAGACAAGTTATTTTAATGTTAAAATGCTATTTTAAAAAAAGCAGTAAAAAGCATGTTTTATTATTTATATCACATGCCATAATATAAACTAAAAACCGTCGTAAAATGTGCAAACCTCCGACGGGCTATTATATATATATATTGGTACTTTACTATGGAATGTAATATACGGTACATGCGCAATATATGAGGTTTGAAATGAGCGAGATTATACACACGTACCGTATTAGTAGAAGTTTATTTGAATGTTTGAAAGATGACCTTACATGACCACTACTTACATAATCCTTCAGAGGAAATATATCGTCTCCTTTTGTAACAAAGTCGCCAAACCCATATGCGGGTATCAAACCGTCCGAGTCCAGAGGCTGCAGGGTTTCACCAAGGATGCTTATCACCTGAAAATTGATCACGAAAAAACGGAGAACTATTAAAGAATGAATAAATATTGAGTAATATAAATGTTCAAAATATGTTGTTAATTTTAAAGGCATGATGGAAATATGCGTGTATTTAGTTAAGTCGGAAATATTCGGCAGTTTTCGTCATTTTCCGAACATAATCAGATCATTTCAGCCTAAACATTGCACATGAAAGGAGTCTGATCTCCTCGGCAATTACGCTTCGCAAAAGACCTCTGGCAAAATAATGCGACATACTGGAACTTGTAAAATGGCGGTGATGTTATTCATGACAGTCACATATCATGACAACACTCTCACTTTACCATAGATGATGTCACCATGTGCACCTTCTTGCACATATACTCGTCCACAGCGGCCAGAACAAAGGGAAGTAATTCGGAATAAGTGATCTCCATCACTCAACCATGGTGAATCGGTCACATTCGGAATACTTACATTGGGATATATTATGGCTATGTCCAAGGTTTTCAACAAATACCACTTTGATTAAACGTGTATCTACTGTAACTATCTCATTTTCCTCCCAAAATTATCTTCCCTCTTTCGGAGAGCATAATTTCGAGCAATTACCAGTAGATTTTCTATTTATGAGTAAAAACGAACATATAATATATAGATAAAAACAAACATAGTGCGTTTGCCACCAGCATGGATCCAGACCAGCCTGCGCATCCGCGCAGACTGATCAGGATCCATGCTGTTCGCTATCAGTTTCTCTACTTGTTATAGGGTTTGTAAGCGAACAGCGTGGATTCTGATCAGACTGCGCGGATGCAAAGGCTAGTCTGGATCCATGTTGGTCGCAAACCCATTATGTTGGTTTTGTTGTGACGCGGCTCATATGATATATAGATAAAACAAAATACCTCTTGATACGGATTTAAACAGTCCTCACTAATTTCATGTAAATTCTTTCCATCAAAAGTTTTCTCTCCTTGAACTTTATTACTCATCGTGTAATCAATACCTGAAATAATATTAATCAATCAATCAATCAATCAACCAACCAACCAATCAATCAATCAATCAATCAATCAATCAATCGATTAATCAAGACTATAATGCCTAGGAAGAAGACAGTACTGACTGACCCGTGGGTTTAAGAACTGACACGTGGTCTAAAGACTGACACGTAGTCTCGAGTCGACACTCGGTTTATGGAATTACAAGCAGTCTGAAAATGTATAACATTAAATGATTAATCGTCCTCGAAAAGTAATTGACCAAGAATCTGAAAGTTTTCTATTTTATACTTTTTTCTAGATGATTAGATAATGTCTGTCATAAGCCAAGCAACCTATTTATTATAACATTGATCAATAGTTTGTGGCTATGTGTAATGAAGACATATTGAGATAATATTCTCTCTTATTTCCGGTTACGGTATTATGATCTTATATAACGTAACGTTGCTGGAAAGCCATTAAAAGTAGGGAGAAATCAATGTGCAAATATCTAGACTTGAATAGCTTGTCGCTGAAAGCCAAGAAAATAAAATAGATATGAAAGTATCCCACAGTACGAAACTGATCAGACAAATCAAAATCGTTAAACTTCGGTTTTTTTTCGTTAAATCTTGTCTTGACCGATTGAAACTTAATTTATGAAAACATTCCGTGAGGTGGACGATGGTGACCGTAAAGCAGACAAAACAGTGTATTAATTTACAAAATTTAAGGCTTAAACATTGGTGAATTTAAAAAGTTTGATTTCATTTAAATAACTTGTAAAATATTGAATTTTCCATTCACGACGCTATGGTCAAGACATTTTCTTCCGAATGTTACACCAATCATTATTTTAGTAAATTGGGCTAAATCTTTAACGAGAGGCACACACAAAAATAGTCTTATAACGTCACGAATGCATAAACATATCTTGAAATATTCATTATTTCTCAATGTGTACAATCAATCGAGAAAAGCAATACGTAGCTATACCTGGGAAGCTTCTAAATTTATCTATAATTATATACTATTAGGTATTTTACCTTTGTAACTATGAAGAACTCTGACAGTTGTAATAGAAAGGTGTAGTTTGCCAGAGAAAACTACGAGAGAATGTGTGTTAGAAATTAACTAAGAAGAATTACGAGTTATACGTTATATGAAAATGTTTAATGTCATCCTAAACAACGTTATGATAATACAATGTATATACAGATATATACATAAATAATGTTTGCATCCATCATACACGTGCATTTTTGTTAGAAACATATCTATAAATATGTTGAATACCTGTACATTTCCATTGAAACAAAACACGATATTTTAAATAAAGACGATAAGAATATATTTATATGGAAGCCATTTTAAGTAGACAGACACCAGTCAGATTTTTTTTAATTCTATAGAAACACAGGCGCTAGTCACATAATCAAATATTTTAAATAATCGGCCTATATATGTATATTAAGATATATCTTATTATAGTATATAGCCCATATAGAACAAAAAAGTTTGTTTCAAGCAACTGTGTATAGAAATGTCATACATGTGTCGAATAATGCTTTAATAATGGATGCTAAACAACTGAATAAAGTAGTAATGGATGTGCAATAATGTGTTGCCAAGGTAGCAAAATGTAAAGAAAATAGTATTTTGACTTCTATACAAAATACTAAATCACTACAAATATAACAACTGCTAAAGAACAGAAGAAGCAAAAGAAAATCAATATGGTCAGTGAGCAAATTTTCGGCAACTGTCAAAAGATACCAAAAATAAAAAGTTTTTGAGATATAAAAATAATACCTTTCAAATACTTTATGACTATTTAAGTAATTTAAGTACATGTATGAGGTATTTACATGAGTGATGAAAAGCATTTAATAAACGCATTAGATTTAAACAAGAAAAGATGCATGATAAACTACGGTCTACTTTCAAATAAAATAAATGAATAACTTAAATGTATACAAAATTAATATTAAACAAAACAGCAAAATACAGATTTCGAAAGTAAGCAATTGTGAATGTTTTGATAGACAGTTACTACTTCTCCATATATGAAGTAAATAAATTACTTTTGCTTATCTTTTGGAAAAGAAGAAATTACTTAAAATTGCTTGTTTTCGAATCCGATCAAGTTTTGTTGTAACTTGTTTATACAAAATGAGCTTTTATTCTCGCATCAACGCATGTTAACAATTAAATGAATTCATTTTAACTAAAACCTAAACATTTGGTGCCAAAATCACTAAGTAAGCTATGAATTCGAAACGATTTATTCATTTGCGAAATTGCGAGCCAATAAAAATCAAGAAATTGCTAGAGTTATATAATTAAACTCAAAAGTTCTCACCAAAAATGAGACCACACTTTTTCAGGCCTTCTTCGGCGAGAGCGTCTCCAAGTTCACGGAGATTAGAAAATCTATCTCTGTTGATGCGGAGAGTGTTATCCCCCATTTTGTGCACATTTGTTAGTAATTAACTGCCCTAAAACAGAAGCAAAATGAAACAAAACATTCTACACTACATCTAGAGAAAGACGGGGCATGAGTTGATTGTCACCATTCAGGAGCGCAGCATTATGACGTTATTTTTATCACGGGGGCGGAACCCCATATGGATATCAAACGTGAGCATCGGTAAAATATATATGTGAATTTCCGCTCATCCAGTTTTGAGATCCATATGGGGTTCCGACCACGTGTTTATGTGATACAGGAAATTATCTTTTGACATGGGGCACCAACCGTACTACATATGGATGAACAAAATGTGCCTCAGAGATAAGTATGTGGGTTTCCGTCTTTACATTTGAGGATTAAGCATCCATATGCGGCGTGTCAAGGAAAAAAATGAATGGTGAGATTTTTCGATATCAATTATTTTCCACATACATGTATATCATATACATGTATATTTTTTTTTCAAAAATCGAAATTCTATTTGACCCTTCTTTATTTACTCGACAGTTACCGATTCATGTTTTGTGACTTAATTTAGTTCTAGTTTTTATTGAGAGATTTTTGTTGTAGTAGATTCAAGTGTACCAGACATTGAACCTTATGGTGAGTATAGTGTAATAAAACAGTCCAAAAAACACCAAACATTCAAACTATCCCTCCATGTTATGATGAAAAATATATTCAGAATCCAAAGTTGGAAGGTTTCTTTGAAATTTGCGACAAATTCCAGGGACCCCAGTCAAACTTCATTTAGTGGTTTAGAACCACGGGTCAAACTTCATTTAGTGGTTCAGAACCTCAGTGATTCATTACAAAATACGCGCTTCACATTCAACATAAGTTTTCATAAATGGATAATCTGAATTTATTTAAATACAAAATGTATATTACTCAAACTATAATGTTTTACGATGCGTTGTACAATTCACAATTATAATTACAGCACACAAAAGGTCACAAGCAGTTCCCAAACATCATAAAATTATACTGGAAAAATCTTATTCATATATCCCTCAAATGCACTAACAGAAGGCCACATATATCTTTACGAGAAGCAATTTAATGTTGGTCAACAATGTGTTAACAGTATTATTCATGAAAAGGAAAGGTCGCCGGGAGTATTAAAACAAGAGGGCCATAATGCCTCTTATATCGCTCACCTGGTTAAGGCTGTTAAGTAAGTAGAGCTAGAAAAGGTATATTTTGTTAATATTTCGTAAAATTTTACGTGGACAACTGCAATAAATGATCTCTGAGCATCCATATAAAACTGGGCATTACCCAAAACATCTTGGATATATATAAAAAGCTTTGCAACGCATTATGCACCACTCCCATAAAATGCTTTAATCATATCATGCCCCATATGTTGTAAATATATTTTCTTTAAAGCATTAGTCCATGCCTTCAAAACAATTCGCGAAATTATATATGCCACTCTTTTGCACTTAAAACGTATACTATATGCTTTGTGATTCACTTAATAATTACTTGCATATCTAGCATAGAACTACCTAGGTCTACAAGTTACAGACAAAAAAAAACAGCAACAAAAAAAACCAACAAATTCAAATAATTCAACCAAATTAAAACGTAATTTAAAAGCAAACAAGCATGCAATAATGCTTTAAAGTGCACAAAATATATATAAGTATATGACAGTGTACATGTACATAATAACTTACTACGGGACAGACATACCAAAAATTAGACCGCATTTGCGCAGGCCTTCTTCGCGCATAGCGGAAGTGACGTCTCTCAATGCATTGAAGCGTTCCTGGTTGATTTTCAACGAATTCTCTCTCCGTAGCATACTCGTTTCTGTAAAATTGTGTTACAATCCTACATTTCATATAACATATTTGTATTAATTTTATATGTTTGTTTGATTGGGTTTTAGCTTGTACCGTCACAGTATAGGTCATATGGCGACGTTCCAGCTTTACTGGTGGTGAAAGACCTCAGGTGCCCGTTCGTGCATTAGGCCTATTTCAGGCACGAACATTTGTATAAATAAAACATGGTTGTATTATACCATAACTTAAAATATAGTTATTTTTATTCTAAAAATCTAGCAATCAAAATCATACATGTATCTACGATAGACCACAAAAGATACATAGGAGCTCGGATGTCACTCCATTTCTTTTTTTCTAATTTATCGTAAAATTTGACCGAATTTTATTATAACAGATTTGAATAAATTGAGTTTAAAAGTTTGAGTTTTAAAGACCACACTATCGAATAATATCAAAGGTATCCAAAGGCCGGACAAAGCCGGTAAGTAATGTACTGGATCTGGAATCTGTGGTCCCGTTTCCCCTATGAGTTATACTGTAAAAGAGCGGTCAAGACCTCTTGCAGTCTAAATCACTAAAAGTTTGACTTGGTGGAGCTTTAAATTATTGGAAATGTATACCAAAACAACGAAATCCGTGGTCGAACAAACTTTCATGAAACTAATAAAACAAAGATCTAGAATGACTTTCAAGCAACAATGTTAAAGAGTCACCAGAATCTACTGCACGTGCTTTAAGTAATAGACATGATAAAGAGGTCTTGATTGGTCTTTAATAAACGACATTGTTGTTATCATTGAAATCGAGAGTTGATCTAGATAGCTAGTGTACATGCAAGCTTATCTCAGTGTAAATTGGCCATTTTTTTCCAAAATCAATATCCATTCCGTATTATTTCATACAAAATTTATAACCTCTTTATCAACGGCAGCAAACACTCTTTTATTATACAAACATTTGAATATTTTAGCAAAATACAAATTGTTTTCTATATCAAATCGAATTTCTTTTATATAACCCTGGGTGTATATGAATGGTAAATCATGGACTCATATGTGCTTAACATTTTATATGGTACCTTAAACACAAGGAAGGCCGAACTTTTTAAAATTGATAGATTTCTGATATGACCTTTAATTCGAATAACAATAGATTTGTTATCAAATATGCTACATGGTGAAATTCTTATCTGATAATTACAATTAGTCAGGTCAAGGATCTATGCATTAGTTGTAAACTTAAGATAAAATTTAAATGTTGCACCCTTATATTTATTGTAAAAAATATGTCGATGTGTGCCTTTAAACTGTTTAAAATACTACCGAAACAGGTGCATGCTTATAAATGAATGAGTTTTTAACCAGTATCATGATATATATGCGGTTTAATGAACTTCATAGGCGATATTGTATAGGCTTAGTTTAACATGTCAAGAAGACCTTAGATAAATTCATGAAGAAAATAATAAAGCTTACCTGTTTAAATAATCACGGCAGTAATGTTTTAACAACGTCCTAGTTTTTCAGTCCTAAATCATGTATATATACGTCCGTTACGATAATATACATATAACCAAACAGACGATATTAATAACTTTAATATCTCGATTTTTACTCAATAATCCCACGTTTTTAACTCGTTTGTATATTGAAATATTTATTGAATACAAAAACGTTTACACAAACTCAGTGATCAGTAAAGTATTTACACAAATTATTCGACGCGTTTGTATACTTAAGCTTATAAATTACTCCGTAGAAAATTCAATATGGCCGCATGTTACTAAGCTTTCTCTGTTATTGGAAAAAATGCCGATATTTTGGTGCCATAGTTAGAATATCTATGTTTAAGCATATAATTATTATACCCTGTAAAACACTGTATTTATCTCTCGTCCATCTTTAGTATATAGTTAGTGTGGACTAATTATGAGGGGGGGGGGGGGATGAACCCAGTTATTACTTTCGTTGCACTAACACTGCCTGGTTCATGCGGCGACGCAATACGAGGGGATTTCGTTGGGATATAATTATGACCTTTTATTAAAGGCCCATTATATGCAAGAGATTTTTTCAAAAGCTTTTCATTTTTGATGTCCTGTTATAGTGTCCAAAATGTCTCTCATTCGCCAATTTCCTGAATGTTGTCTTTTGGCAATTAATGGTGATATAATGATTAAGTATTTTATATGGAAGTCATAATACTACATTTGTACATTGTTTACATTTTGCTGCTTTTAGAACTTCAGTTCTATTTTCTTCACGTGTAAACCATCTAACACGCTCTTAATCCATTCTTAAAATGTTATAAAGCTCATATTTGCCCTTTCTAAAGAATTAAAGTATTATTTATTTCTGAGGTATGATGTGCCTTTAAATAGCCCCCATCCACCCGTTATCCTCCAGGTGTGATCCGGTTGGGGTAACGTTACGGGGTGAGAGCCGGCCCGTTAGAACCCACGTTCGTTTGATTAATACGATTTGGATTAAAATCGTGTTTGGTGGGGGATTTGGAGCAAAATATTTTTTTCAAAAATTCACTATATACTTGAATATAACAGACTTTCTCAAATCGTTTATGCAAAGTGCCAAAATAGATTCCTTATTTGCTACTTGTCGAGAAGCCCGAACAACGGAGAACCCATTAATTTAACTTACATACTTTGTAATCTTTATCATTTCAAATAAAAAGATGGAGAAATTAATTTCGATTCTTTCATTAATATTTGTTAGAAAAACAATTCAATTCTTTATTAATTGATAACACATTATACAGCGTATAAACAGCTAACAAAACAACAAAAACTTTATCAAACATAGGTAATATTGACACAAATTTAAAGCAGCACGCCGCAAGATTCATGCTAATTTTCATGAAAATTTTGAAAATGTATTTTAATGTGTTATATTGTGAAGTAACTTAAAGGAAGCAATATACACATTATCATTGGCACTTACAAACACGTATATAACCAAAAGGTGGTCAAAATATGCGTAAATAGCCTTTAAGTTGCGTTAGTAACTCAGTAGAAATATAGTTGTAAATACTGAAAAATCAGTCATTAATCGCACATTATATGTAAAATACATTTTGTATTACTTGAATCTTGAAAGTTTTTACTTTTCCTTTCATCTTAGTACATTTTTCTCAAGTTTGATCTTTTTGAAATATTTTGACTCATCTGGAGGCATGTAGCTTTAATACTTATAATGAATACTGCTATATGCAATTGTTGTTATACTATTGCAATATAGAAAAGAAAAAAAGGGCAGTATGACAAGTGACAAAAATCTCATTGAACAAAAGTAAACCTAATTTTGTTAATTTAGCATGATCTTTACTGTTCATTAGTTCTTACAGTTTACAGGCATTTGTGGCACAATAATAGTAATTCTGTAACATTTGTGTTCTGATTTCCTTAAAAAGTATCACATTCAAGTAAATAATGACATGCATCACCAATTACGTTTTTATTACAATGAGTACAGGTTCTAAGATTTCTTTCACTGCCAAGATGAACGAATGAATAGTGGCACATAAACCAAGCACTCCACCGTGTATGTCCTTATATTTGGAATACTTTCCTTTATGTTAATTCACCACCTTTAGTTTTTGCATATGTAATGCTCATTATGAATAATAATGACATTCTACAGTACATACATGAATCTGCATCAACGTATACTTAGCATTAGATCTAGATAACTTTTACTTGCAAATCATGTCGGCTCTTCAAAAATTCAAATGGAAAAAAGCGGTTCACAACTGAAACCAATTGTTCATTAAAATCACCATTTTGAGTCACCATTTTCCAAAACTTTTTGTGTTATTTGTATTAAGTGGGATAGATCCTACATGAATGAGTGTGCGTGTAGGATAGAAGAGGACAAATTTACTGTACGCGTGAATAAGGTAGAAAATTAAGTAAGTTATAAAAGATAAGTAAGTGTTACAAGTAAGAGTCCCATCATTGGCAGGTCATCTGGACAAGATTTTCTCATGCGTAAATGGTATAGTTATAGTCAAAATAATTTATGTCCTCTCATTTCATGAATAAGTTATCCGAGGAAGACATCTATGCAAATTAGGGTTAAAAGGTCATGGTCACGTTTCGTTTTATGTTAAGGAATACTAATGCATATTTTTATTTACCTGTCATAGGTATCATAGGTTTACCTGTTAAATTTGTTGATGAATGCATTTAAATTCAGGATAAATAACTGCTTAAATGAGGTCGAGCATTTATAAAGTGCATGTTCAATATACCGTGTGCGATTGAGAAATATAAAATATGGAGCTAAAGGAAGTAGACGGCGAAGAACAGTTAAGAAATGAGAACGCAAAAGAAAAATGGACAAAGCTTGGAGAAACAGGTAATAATTGTAATAATTGGATAGATAAGTCTAAATCCGATTTTGATAAGGTTGAGAAAGTCAAAGATGAAACATTAGACCATGGTATTGATGAAGGAAAAGACACTTCCGATGGCAAAGAACTGGAACAAGAAGTGGGAGATGCGATAGAAGGCGAAGGAGAAAAAAACGAAAAGGAAGGATTAAGGAAGAAAAAAAATGAATTTAAAGCGGAAACGGGGTGTTTATGGGGGTTTTGTACTCATTTTAAGATAACCCCACCGTGGCTTTTGTATTTTTATTTTGGTTTTTTCGGGTACAAACCAGGCTAAAATAACACATGTTCTATTTGGTTTTGGGCAATATTATTCATACATTATTCATTTACAACCAGTTTATTGTTAGCGATGTTGTAGACTGTAAATATTTTATTTCATAATCAAAAAAGAATAACTTATGAAAACACTGGCAGGCTCGTATTGAGTCGAAAAAAAAACGTTTGAGATGAAAAGGAAAATCGCACCGCTGAATGTTGATGATAATCATTATAATCTATTATGCCATCGAATGCTTTATTACTGAACCACTTTATGTATCGCCTCCTTATTGCAAAATATAGTGTCTGATTTTTACCATGCATGAACAATGTATATGGAGTGGCGAAAAAGAGAATGATCGAAAGCGTAATAATGTTTCTTTGCGCGCCAAAGCGAAATCTTGTGTTTCAGCCGCATATCTGTAGTGTTTTCGCATATAATTCAGCATAAGAGACTGGCTGCATTGTGTATTCATTTACATTTCAATATTCTTGTGGGAAAAAAACCCTTTGGGGAAAAAACCCAAGCAAACAAAAAAATTAACAAAAAAATTTTGTTTTCTTTTCAGCACACGGGGACACCCTTTTGGGGGAACATTATTTCATTTTCCATTGTGTTTTGCCAAATATTTCTGTAGGGACGAAAACGGGGTCGGTTAAGTAAAACTTATTGGTTAATTTAATTTTCTACATTGACAAAGAAACAACATTTATTTTCTACATATTTTCTCCCTTTTCTTTTGGGGGCCGAGGGGTCTTTTTTTAAAGGGGTTCTCTCCCCTCCAACACGGGGATAAATGGGCTCGAGCACAAATTTCATTTACGCCCATGTTTTTCCCATAGGGACACCAATTTAGGGTTGGGTTAAAGGGAAAGGGCGACTTCCTGTTCGAGCTTAAAAATATTGTTTTAAAACCAAATTGTAAACCCGTGCAAGCCTCACCGTGAGTTTACTGAGTTAGAACCCCTTGTCTTCATTCAACCAACACAGAAAACGCAGAAAATTATAATTCGTTTCTCGGATGGAACCTGGTTCTAAAGAACTGTGTTGCAAACGTTTTAAAGACAACTTAAATGGAATGATTTGACCTCTATTCTAACTAAATTCGTGAAGTTAAATTCGTTAATTAATAAAGTTATAATGACAATTCGTAAAGCTAAAACCATAAATTCGTAAAGCTTACATCATGAATTTATGTATTTTAAATCACGAATTCAAGCTCTTGATAAATTTATGAAGTTAAAAGTCTTTCGTATTTATGAATCTGTCCATATTCATCATATTTGTCTTACTGTTTTCTGATAATGGGGTTATAATGTTAATCTGTATCTGCAAAAATATTTTGTTTATCTTTTATACATAAACATTTTAATTCTTTTAAGGGACCATCTTGTTTGTCTCTGGTCTGGCTACCTTGCTTCAGAGCACTTTGGGTGTTAGACTACCAATAGTTCAAGGAGGGACTGTTACTTTCGTTATACCAACTATAGCAATTCTTCTACAACCGCAATGGGAGTGTGAGTTTGTAACAGCTAGGAACCAGTATGGGCCAAATCTAAATTTAACTCAACTTGGGTTGCCGGAAATAGGAAGTGAAAAACACCGCGAAATGTGGATGTTGCGGATACGTGAAATACAAGGGGCTATAATTGTGGCATCGTTGTTCCAAGTGCTAACAGGAGTCAGTGGTATACTTATGTACATGTTGAAATATATAGGCCCTCTTTGCATTGTGCCAATCATAACATTAACAGGTATTTCACTTTTTCCCGCCGGATCCAAGATGGCGTCTGGTCATTGGTGGATTGCCTTACTTACAATGTTTCTCATTACTATATTTAGCCAATATATGAAACGAGTTGAAATTCCCTGTTTCTGCACAAAAGATAAAATTGCATTTTTCTCGCTGTTCCCTGTTTTGCTTGGAGTTATGACGTCGTTTATAGTGTGTATAATTTTGACGGCAACAGATGTACTTCCGGCTGATAAAACCAAATGGGGCTATATGGCACGAACTGACACAGGTATGCATGTACTGACTGAAGCTAAATGGTTTCGTTTTCCTTATCCAGGACAATGGGGTTTACCAAAAGTCAGCATGGTTGGTGTATTTGGAATGCTCGCTGGCGTAATAGCTGCCATGATCGAATCCATTGGTGATTATTACGCATGCGCAAGACTTGCAGGTGCTCCTCCTCCGCCATTACATGCGGTGAACAGAGGAGTTTTCACAGAAGGTGTAGCATGCGTTCTTGCAGGGATTTGGGGATCTGGAAACGGAACTACCTCTTATGCTGAAAACATAGGCGTTATTGGTATAACAAAAGTAGGCAGTAGACGTGTAGTCCAAATCGGCGGGCTTATGATGCTAGTCCTTGGTTGTTTTGGAAAGTTTGCGGCACTGTTTACTTTAATTCCAACACCTGTAATCGGAGGAATGTTTATGATAACTTTCGGTATGGTGACGGCTGTAGGGTTATCAAATCTACAGTATATTGATCTTAACTCACCACGAAACCTATTTATTCTAGGAGTTTCTTTATTCTTCGGTCTTAGTCTTCCAATGTGGATTACAGAGCATGACGTCATCGATACCGGAAATGACATCATAGATCAATTATTATCCGTCCTTTTGAGTACCAGTATGTTTGTTGGAGGACTCATTGGTTTTGTGCTGGATAATACTATTCCTGGAACTGACGAGGAAAGGGGAATAAACTCGTGGAGACAAACGTCGTCTTCGGTAAAGTCCGGCTCGTCACAATCAAATTATGATCTGTATAATTTCCCTTATATTCAACCTTATCTGGACAAAATTAAACTATTTAACTATGTCCCGGTGTGTCCAAGGTTTTTAGCCAAACCTGTAATCGTGAATAGCTTCTCAAACGAAGCTATGGAGTAAGTTCTTTGAAACGTGCTTGTTTTTCCTTTTTTTGCAATGATATATGTTTTGTTTTGTAGACTGTCAGTTTTGTTATTATACGGTGTAACCATGTAGGCGGTGTAAATGGGAGCACATTATAATGTATTCACGAAGCAAACTTATGATTCTCTGTTCATGATAAATAAAAGTGCGTATACACTCTTGTATATCTAATACCATAGAAGTATTAAATGAAAATTGTGAAATAGTGTCATCTTATTGTTGTTATGAATACTAATTGTGGAAATTGACTTTTATTTATAATTTTGGCAGCTTTGTTCTGAATACCTTCAGTAGAGTTTAATATTTTTGGCAGCTGTGCGCTGAATGCTTTGAGAAGAGCCGAATAAAATGCTACCTTGACAAATATCTGCTTAGATCTGCACAGTAGTATATAGTTATACTTGCTTTTGGTATGGTCATTACACAATAAACTCGAAAATACACAAAAGAACTTTATTGAGTATAGACAATTTGTATAAAAATGCAAATACTTGCATCATAAAAGGTAATGGTGATATTTTTCTTTATAATTAAATAAAGATTGAATAATAAATAGTTATGATTAAAACAAAATATGAGAAAAAAATACTATAACAAAAACATGAGTTATGATGGGTTTAGTTCCTGCTATCTCGGTACTCTAAAAGCAATAAAGATATAACAAAAGTTTGTTCTGGAGAAGCATAAATGGTAAGCTATTTAGCTAAATTAAATTTTCTTTTTAAAAGATAAAAGATATTTCAACAGATGTGATTATTGTTTGAAATAAAGTATCCCTTACTCAGTAATGTTAAAATGAAAGCGTTTAACCTTCGAATGTTCAGTTAATATGTGAAAATGAAAGCGTTTAAAATACGAATGTTCAGTTATGTGAAAATGAAAGCGTTTAAAATACGAATGTTCAATTATGTGAATATGAAAGCGTTTAAAATACGAATGTTCAGTTATGTGAAAATGAAAGCGTTTGAAATACAATGTTAATTTATGTGAAAATGAAATCGTTTAAAATACTAATCATTTGAAGCAAGCATTGCCTCTATCTACTTATGTACTAATTTGTTTTGGTAACAACATAAACAAAATTTTGAAATAATAATTCAAAAATGTGTTGAAGTTTTAAGTTTTTTAATCTATCTGGCAGTGTTGCGAAAAACTTGAACATATTTATTATTTGGTTGTAATTGTAACCATTATGAGGCGGTAACAACGAAAAAGAAAGTACAGTGTCCTTCAGAAATGCAAAATGAGCTGACAAAAAAATCCAAACAAAAGAAATATTTTTTACTTTTCATAAACGCCATTTCTTGATTGGCATTGTTAGTTATACATGTGCAACAAAATAGAAATAATTTCAGAACACTTTCCATAACTTGCAATAAAAGAAGCAACTATAAGTGCAACAATTCCTTTCTCACCAAAGATGCAAAAAAGAAACACAATAACATTAAAACCGCCACGACGCCTTTTTTAAGTTATAAGTTCTTAAAAGAACAAAAAAATCTGGACACATATACTCTGTTCCGATCTTCCTTTTAACGAATTACAGTTAAATTAAACAATTAAGGCCTGGCATAGCTCTGGCAGCCAAGATCAGCATCGGTGAAGCCACAATATTGAGTATACCAGCAACAATACTCAAACCAAACGATGCATGAAGTTTGAAATGGAGGCTCGTCGATTCCGCAAATTTCTTTATCTCGTTGTCGACAACAAACATAATGACACCGGTTATCACGAACAAGCCTGCACAAATATAATAAATAAATAAATAAATAAATGATAATAAAATCGGAGATGTGATGTTGACCAGTGATGTTCACACGATTTGTCAGATAGCATATGGCTCTAAATGAATTAAGCTCTCCGACATTTTACTATCATTGTAGCTTTATACGTCAGGATGCAGGATGCAAGAATTTGACGGATAAACCTCCCCAAGTATAAGCATGAAATAAAGATTTGTTTGATATGTTAAGTTCATGTTTTTCATATATAACATAAGGTCATTTTAACTATTTGCATTATCATCATCTTCTCCATAATCATCTTTATCTCTTCATCATCATTACCTCATCATCATAATCATTATAATCGCATCATCATAATAATCATTGTTTCACCGTCATGATCATCATTATAATCATTATCTCATCATCATTATCTCATTATATTAATCATCATCATCTTTTTCTCATTATCTTAATCATTATTATTTCATCATCATTATTTTATCATCATAATCATCATTATATCATCATCATAATCATCAGTACATAGTTATCATCGACATTATCATCAAGAGAAATCATCATTATTATCCGTACATCATCATCATGATTTATTACAATGTTCTTAATCAATATCAATAAATCATCAATTTATCAGTGCATCATCAGCATCTGACATTACCATCGTAAAATTGGTTATCAAGCTGCTCTGGTAAGTTTAAATGTCATAGCCATAGTTGTTATGGTCTTAGTCGTGGTCTTAGTGTGACACAAAGTTGTCGTAGTCGCAAAAGTTGTAGTTGTAACTGTACTCGTAGTGTAAAAGTTACTAGACTTCAAGGGTGGCAGATTCAATTGTCCCTATGCTTCAGGTAAAACGGCCAAGTAAGTCAATATCTGATTTTGCCGGCTCCAGTAGTAGTCTATACGTAGCTGTAGATGTCTAGTGGTCATAGAAAATACCAAATTGAATATACTTGCTGTCGAGGTCGTACTGTAGATAACGAATTGTTGTCGTAAAAGTGTTATAAGAAGCTTGTTTAATGGTAGCCGTAGCTGTTTAATACCAGGCGTAGTCTTTAAAGTCTTAATCAATCTATTGTCTATGATTTTCTTGTCGGTTACTATTATTCTCTTTTATGTATTATGAAAGTAATTATCCTATCCTTGATCTGCCATGTGCCTTGTCCTGTTTTTGCGACATCTTGCCGCTGGTCCTTGTTGCTGGGTCGTGTTGGGGTTGCGTTCATTGAACGCCGCCTTTACTTATTGATATTGTTTATCATATTTTGTTCCTGATCGTAGTTCTAGTCGTAGTAATCTTCATTTTGGTAGCCGTTTGAGTCGAATAATTCGTATTCGTAGTTAAAGCCATCGTAATTAATCTTCATGGCTGTAGCCGTACCTGCAGTCGTGTCCATAATTGTCGGCGTATATTTTTTAATACGTAGGCTTGGACGTTGTCGTGCTGTAGTAGTCAGCGTAATCGTAAAAGCCAAAGATATACTCGTAGTTGTTAATTTTGGGATCAGTTATCTTCGTAGTCGTTGCTGTACTTATAGTCGTTTGAGTCGTAGCTTGGACAAAATTGGTGATCATGTTGCGAAAATGAACTATATACGGTGATACCCAGCATCTTGACGGATACAGCTATCTTACATGTAGCTGTATTATACGATATTACAGGTAACGTTTACAGCTCAGCTCACGGTCGCTGTACATGGGATTACAGCGCAATGGATAAAGCTATCCGGATAGTCATACTCCTCAAGAGCTATATGCAGCGAAACAATGCTTTGTATGAGCACATTTGCCTCGGAGCACATTTGTCTCACGAGGTGTGACCGATGTGCTCGTAAACATTCATATTTGCGACAAATTGGAAATGAGACAGATGTGTTCGACACACAATAGAAAGGACACTCAAAGCACATTTGTCTCACATTCTTCCATAAAATTCTATAAAGGCAATTTTGCTCGTCTGTATACCATCTACCAGCCATTGTTCTGTGTTTTCTGTACTGATAATACCGTTTTTTAGGTCAGTTCGGTCAATCAAAAACTCCCTGCGTCTGCATCTGCATAGAAGTCATATATTAACTTATATAAGAATACCCTTGTTCTGCAAGTTACGCACGGTGAAAATTTCTATCATTGCAGTATCCAGAACCCAAACACATATGCAGCGAGTCGATTCTGATCGTTTTCAATTGTGAAACGTTTCTTTCCGATGCTTAAAGTTTTATAAATGATTTAAGAAATATTCTGAGCAACAACAATGTAGCATCTACGGTGGCATAAAAGGACATAGGATTAACTTATTTATTGCCTGCGAACACGATAGCTATTACGTGGCCACACGATACAATTACGTGCTTACGTTTCAGTGTACGCCTTCAGGTTCAGGGAAACAAATTTCTTGAATAAGAGATATCAGTTTTAATAGTTTCAGGTTTAAGAGTTCACGAAAACAGGTTTAAGAGTTCAGAAAAAGCATTAGCAAACCTATTGATGATTACACTTGAGGTAAAACGGCACACCTGGATTCTTCAAGAAATTCTGCCGTGTGAAAATATGTGACAAATAATTCATAAAATGAGACAAATGTGCTTTCTTGTCCCCTTAAAAAGCTTGATCGGAGGACATTGTTCACACAAATTAGTTTTTTGGGTATACATTTGAGGTCCCACGTGGGACAAATGTGACCGCATCTGTCTTATGTAAGACAAATGTGCTCCGAGACAAATGTGCTCCTACAATGCTTTCTTACTGATGTACTTTTGTTTGTTAAAAGTGGGGGTCTCCACTACTATTGTCCTATTATTCAAAGTGGAAGCAAGTAAAGAACGCTGTATTACAAATGGTCACAGTATTACATTGTTATTCGTTATATTTGCTGAAATATTACATTGAGTCCGGAATTTACTAGAGTTAGATCTAATAGAGCAGTGTTTAATACGGCGGCATAGCATATTTGTGACAAATTCAATATTGTTTCACAAATGCAATCTTGTTTGTTTATTTTTCCCTATCAGATGACTCACGGCGTTTATGGGTTTGTTGAAGCCAATTAGATAAATGTAACTTCTTAACAACTCAAGAATGTATGTATATTTTTTATCATGAGTGTAAAAAATTCAAACATAAAGACATAGTTTGAGCAGTTGCATTCACATAATGACGGAAGTGTAATTAAGGTGTTTCATTCGTCATACATCTCGTGCCTTCTCAGTATATTTCGCCATTTTTCTTGCGTTGTAAGATAAAAGGCGTTTAAATATGACCAACATCAAAATGGAAAGGAATTTGAACAAGCTTTCGGTTGACAAAATACTTTTTATACTACTTATTTACTTTATTTTCAGCTAATGCATTTGAATCTGCACGTGCTCTCGAGATCCTGGCCATCCTGGCAACCACGGCGGCAATAGTTGTCGTCTGCTTGAAGATATTTTTCAAGAAGGAGAATAACCGTCTGTTGTACATAGCCACACCCATTCCTTTATTTGCAAGTAAGGCGATACGTGAATCAGATACAGTCAAATTTATGTTTAAAAGGTTTACAGTAAAACTGCCTAAAGTATAGTTCAGTTTTATAACTGAAACAAACAGTCAACTAGTACGTGTAATGTTGAAAAACGTCTTCAAATATCGTGTTTAATTGCCCTTATAAACAACAAAAGTGCATTTTCATTTTTCTGTCTGAACTGTGACCATTTGTAATACAGTGTTCTTGACCTGCTTCCACTTTGAATAATAGGACAATAGTAGTGGAGACCCCCACTTTTAACAAACAAAAGTACATCAGTAAGAAAGCATTGTAGGAGCACATTTGTCTCTTACATAAGACAGATGCGGTCACATTTGTCCCACGTTGGACCTCAAATGTCTACCCACAAAACTAATTTGTGTGAACAATGTCCTCCGATCAAGCTTTTTAAGGGGACAAGAAAGCACATTTGTCTCATTTTATGAATTATTTGTCACATATTTTCACACGGCAGAATTTCTGTGCCGTTTTACCTCAAGTGTAATCATCAATAGGTTTGCTAATGCTTTTTCTGAACTCTTAAACCTGTTTTCGTGAACTCTTAAACCTGAAACCTACTATTAAAACTGATATCTCTTATTCAAGAAATTTGTTTCCCTGAACCTGAAGGCGTACACTGAAACGCAAGCAAATAATTGTATCGTGTGGCCACGTAATAGCTATCGTGTTCGCAGGCAATAAATAACTTAATCCTATGTCCTCTTTATGCAACCGTAGATGCTACCTTGTTGTTGCTCAGAATATTTCTTAAATCATTTATTAAACTTTAAGCATCGGAAAGAAACGTTTCACAATTGAAAACGATCAGAATCGACTCGCTGCATATATGTGTTTTGGTTCTGGATACTGCAATGATAGAAATTTTCACCGTGCGTAACTTGCAGAACAAGGGTATTCTTATATAAGTTAATATATGACTTCTATGCAGATGCAGACGCAGGGAGATTTTGATTGACTGAACTGACCTAAAAAACGGTATTATCAGTACAGAAAACACAGAACAATGGCTGGTAGATGGTATACAGACGAGCAAAATTACCTTTATAGAATTTTATGGAAGAATGTAAGACAAATGTGCCTCGAGTGTCCTTTCTATTGTGTGCCGAACACATCTGTCTCATTTCCAATTTGTCGCAAATATAAATGTTTACGAGCACATCGGTCACACCTCGTGAGACAAATGTGCTCCGAGGCAAATGTGCTCATACAAAGCATTGTTTCGCTGCATATAGCTCTTGAGGAGTATGACTATCCGGATAGCTTTATCCATTGCGCTGTAATCCCATGTACAGCACCCGTGAGCTGAGCTGTATACGTTACCTGTAATATCGTATAATACAGCTACATGTAAGATAGCTGTATCCGTCAAGATGCTGGGTATCACCGTATATAGTTCATTTTCGCAACATGATCACCACTTTTGTCCAAGCTACGACTCAAACGGCTATAAGTACAGCAACGACTACGAAGATAACTGATCCCAAAATTAACAACTACGAGTATATCTTTGGCTTTTACGATTACGCTGACTACTACAGCACGACAACGTCCAAGCCTACGTATTAAAAAATATACGCCGACAATTAAGGACACGACTGCAGGTACGGCTACAGCCACGAAGATTAATTACGATGGCTTTAACTACGAATACGAATTATTCGACTCAAACGGCTACCAAAATGAAGATTACTACGACTAGAACTACGATCAGGAACAAAATATGATAAACAATATCAATAAGAAAAGGCGGCGTTCAATGAACGCAACCCCCACACGACCCAGCAACAAGTACCAGCGGCAAGAAGTCGCAAAAACAGGACAAGGCACATGGCAGATCAAGAATAGGATAATTACTTTCATAATACATAAAAGAAAATAATAGTAACCGACAAGAAAATCATAGACAATAGATTGATTAAGACTTTAAAGACTACGCCTGGTATTAAACAGCTACGGCTACCATTTAACAAGCTTCTTATAACACTTTTACGACAACAATTCGTTATCTACAGTACGACCTCGACAGCAAGTATATTGGTATTTTCTATGACCACTAGACAGCTACAGCTACGTATAGACTACTACTGGAGCCGGCAAAATCAGATATTGACTTACTTGTCCGTTTTACCTGAAGCATAGGGACAATTGAATCGGCCACCCTTGAAGTCTAGTAACTTTTACACTACGAGTACAGTTACAACTACAACTTTTGCGACTACGACAACTTTATGTCACACTAAGACCACGACTAAGACCATAACAACTATGGCTATGACATTTAAACTTACCAGAGCAGCTTGATAACCAATTTTACGATGGTAATGTCAGATGCTGATGATGCACTGATAAATTGATGATTTTTGATATTGATTAAGAACATTGTAATAAATCATGATGATGTACGGATAATAATGATGATTTCTCTTGATGATAATGTTGAATGATAACTATGTACTGTTGATTATGATGATGATATAATGATGATTATGATGATAAAATAATGATGATGAAATAATAATGATTAAGATAATGAGAAAAAGATGATGATGATTAATATAATGAGATAATGATGATGAGATAATGATTATAATGATGATCATGACGGTGAAACAATGATTATTATGATGATGCGATTATAATGATTATGATGATAAGGTAATGATGATGAAGAGATAAAGATGATTATGGAGAAGATGATGATAATGCAAATAGTTAAAATGACCTTATGTTATATATGAAAAACATGAACTTAACATATCAAACAAATCTTTATTTCATGCTTGTACTTGGGGAGGTTTATCCGTCAAATTCTTGCATCCTGCATCCTGACGTATAAAGCTACAATGATAGTAAAATGTCGGAGAGCTTAATTCATTTATTATTTATTTATTTATTTATTTATTTATTTATTTATTATATTTGTGCAGGCTTGTTCGTGATAACCGGTGTCATTATGTTTGTTGTCGACAACGAGGCAAAGAAATTTGCGGAATCGACGAGACCCTTGCTCCATTTCAAACCTCATGCATCGTTTGGTTTGAGTATTGTTGCTGGTATACTCAATATTGTGGCTTCACCGATGCTGATCTTGGCTGCCAGAGCTATTCCAGGCCTTAGATAAAATCAACGAATATTGATCCGTGTGAATCTTGCCTTACATTACTGCATACTTCAATTTTGATATCTTAATTGTTTAATTTAACTGTATTTCGTTAAAAGGAAGATCGGAACAGAGTGTATGTGTCCAGATTTTTTTGTTCTTTTAAGAACTTATAACTTAAAAAAGGCGTCGTGGCGGTTTTAATGCTATTGTGTTTCTTTTTTGCATCTTTGGTGAGAAAGGCATTGTCGCACTTATAGTTGCTTCTTTTATTGCAAGTTATGGAAAGTGTTCTGAAATTATTTCTATTTTGTTACACATGTATAACTAACAATGCCAATCAAGAAATGGCGTTTATGAAAAGTAAAAAATATTTCTTTTGTTTGGATTTTTTTGTAAGCTCATTTTGCATTTCTGAAGGACACTGTACTTTCTTTTTCGTTGTTACCGTCTCATAATGGTTACAATTACAACCAAATAATAAATATGTTCAATTTTTTCGCGATTACTGCCACGATAGATAGATTAAAAAAAAAACTTAAAACTTCAACACATCTTTGAATTATTATTTCAAAATTTTGTTTATGTTGTTACCAAAACAAATTAGTACATAAGTAGATAGAGGCAATGCTTGCTTCAAATGATTAGTATTTTAAACGATTTCATTTTCACATAGATTAACATTGTATTTTAAACGCTTTCATTTTCACATTACTGAACATTCGTATTTTAAACGCTTTTATTTTCACATAATTAACTGAACATTCGTATTTAAAACGCTTTCATTTTCACGTAATTGAACACTTGTATCTTAAACGCTTTCATTTTCATATTACTGAACATTCGTATTTTAAACGCTTTCATTTTCACATAATTAACTGAACATTCGTATTTAAAACGCTTTCATTTTCACGTAATTGAACACTTGTATCTTAAACGCTTTCATTTTCACATTACTGAGTAAGGGATACTTTATTTCAAATAATAATCACATCTGTTGAAATATCTTAAATATTTTTTTTAAATGTTAATTTAGCAAAATAGCTTACCATTTATGATTCTCCAGAACAAACTTTTGTTATATCTTTATTGCTTTTAGAGTACCGAGATAGCAGGAACTAAACCCATCATAACTCATGCTTTTGTTATAGTATTTTTTCTCATACTTTGTTTTAATCATATCTATTTATTATTCAATGTTTATTGAATTATAAAGAAAAATATCACCATTACCTTTTATGATGCAAGTATTTGCATTTTATACAAATTGTCTATACTCAATAAAGTTATTTTGTGTTCGAGTTCGAGTTTATTGTGTAATGACCATTTCTTAAAAGCAATGCATAACTATATACTACTGTGCAGATCTAAACAGACATTTGTCAAGGTAGCATTTTATTCGGCTCTACTACACAGCTGCCAATCCACATATAGTATTCATAAAAACAACAATAAGATGACACTTATTACACAATTTCATTTAATACCTCTATGTATTAGATATACAAAAGGTGTATTACGCACTTTTATTAACAGATGAACAGAGAATCATATACACATTATATGTGCTCCCCATATATGTGACCCATAGAGCGATCTCGCCTACGAATGTAGCACTGTGTACACCGAGTCAATATGCATAGCTATGAGATACATAAAGTACTTACAGTCATACAAAACATAGAGAATACAAAATATAGGTAATATCACTATTGGCTAACAAACACAGGGAAGGATGAAATCACAAAATCCTGCCTACCATACACAGAGAGTATCGGTACTCCTTAATGTGCTTAATATTATACGTTCCATAGTCTTCTGTTTGTATCAAAATAACGAACGTGCTAATACAAACGAATATAGCCTCGTTTGGACATAATAATCCACTTAGGAAGGACAGCACTGAGGGACATAGGTCATATGACGAAGTAGTTAAATGAATACATCTCCAGATACTGTAATTACATACATTCTACTGAATGCGAGTGTAGTAAATGTGTATATACAACCAGACTTGCCTACTAAATTTAGCATATTTCGTATACAGTGTGTGTCGCGTATCTCTTTACCTGACAAACCGATATGCAGTATATATAATTGTCTCCACGAGTTAATTACCCTTTCCTCTTACCAAGTCCAGGAACTATATTCTGTGTAATTTCGTAATCACAAAACCAAGTGTTACGTTCTCTAATACAAAATATGAGCTTATCTCGTACATACCAAAAGGCCCATAACGCGATAATACAGTGATTACTCTTTATCTGATATACAAAATATTACTACACAAACAAGATTGCCATTGTGGACACCAATATTGAATTTGTCACAAAAGGTTATGCTCCAGTGAGACATACATGCTACACTCTTAAGCTGTCATCATATCTGTGAGACTGCTAATTACCGAGGAAGATATACACGAAAGCGTACACATAGACATCTCAAATGTAATAGTATCTCTCGTAGAGATGTAATAGTTCGAGGATCAATATACTATGATACATATTGATAACCCTAACAGTCCTGATACTACCTCATGACAGTGTTCCTACTATTGTTAAACATACGCTCTTCTATATTAACGTGCTTGTGTATACTCAACCTAAACTAGTATGCTCAGACAAAACTATTCCAATATTAAGTCAAGCGAACCCCACTACTTTATCACTAACATACTCAAAGCCCAGGTACCGATTTGGATACTCTGAGTCTATACAGAAAGGCATGCCTAACTTTGTGTTGAGCACATTTGTCACATAGCGGCGAATGTGACAGCCCATTTTGTCTTACATTAAGACAGATCTCATGTTTTCAGCATTAGATCACAATGTATGTTCCTCGCTCTACTCTTCTAGAGGTGCCCCTCAATCCTGCAAGAACGCAATGGCAACACCTTCTTGTGAAAATTCCATCCTCGTCAAAAACTTAAATTTGTCAGCTAGTAGATCAATTGTGTCCCCGCGGATAGTGCAGCTCCTTGTCTAAGTCTTGGCATGAGCTCAAGGATAAAAAGTACACAATTCGTACTCCATATATATGAGAATTCAGATCATAGCGACATATTTCTCATATTTAAGCGCAGCGACGAAGATCTCCTTGCACAAGAATCAGTACAGCGTAACGCTGTCACCTCAAGATCGATATTGGTGCAATTAGACCGCTCTATGTGCTCTAATGGCGGCTGTATATAATGAAACTCTCGAAAACTCAAAATTTCACGTGGCTTTCTCTCGAAGTACATTGCTTAAACCTAATAACTATGTATAGCTCCTGAATTGATCTCTCTTACTGGTCATAGAGATAATCCCTGCATTCTCCTTTACTCTACACGGAAAGGTCGAGTCTACACTGAAAACTAAGCTGATTGCCTAAGTGTGCATAATATCGGTGTATGAGCACACACACTGATATTTAAACGTAGCCGTCCATTAAACTCGCTAAGTGCAAAAAGCCAAAAAGGTGAGTAATAATCCATTACGTCGTATAAATTGCCGCCTCTTCTCGTTTATGGTAGCTAGCAATACCGAGATATTTCTGATACTCGTGCTCTCAGGATATTAATGCTCTATAATTAAATAAGATACATGTTAAGAACATATAAAGCGTTAATGGTCAAAGTCACCAATAGACTCTCGAGCCGCACAAGATACTACTGTTGTCATCCGCTGCTAATATATGAGAAGTGAACAATACAACCTCGTTACTAACTCTGTCTATCATGAAGTTGGCACTTATTATGCAGGAAGAGGCCTTATTCTGTAGTTATTCTGTCTACAACAATGTTACATATTAGATAAAACTTCATCTGTACTCACTGCTAGTAGCAGCTCTTGTGAACCAAGACAGTCAGGACGCACAGATTATAGCTCCTTTCTGTTACTTCACGTTATCAGAAGATCTAAATCATACATTTTCTACGGCCAGGAGCTGGTCATGGTGAGGTAGACCGAACCGACCTAAAATTACACACTCTCCTATTTCCGGCAACCCAAGTGTAGGTTAAATTTTAGATATTGGTCCCAGCTAACTCAACTAGAAATCACCATAAGACTGCATTACGAGGCATGACGTCTACGAATCTGCCCATTGCACAGGTTGCAACAGAAGAGCATGCAATTGTATACGTTTGGTATACAAAAATTTTATGGAGATAGTAACTAGAGATACAATGTGTCCTAGCGCTCTGAAACTTTTCTTTCTAGTTAGGTCTAACACCCAGAATCGTAGCTACCTAGTCAAGGTCAATCTCATGTGCTTCACACATATGACGCGATCAGGAACATAAACATGAATGTGTGTTCACTTGTGACAAACAGATATCTCAGAGATCAACCACCTCGGAGACAAATGTGCCTCCGAGGCAAATGTGCTCATACAAAGCATTGTTTCGCTGCCATAAGCTCTTGAGGGTATGACTATCCCGGATAGCCACTTTTATTCCATTGGCGCTTGTAATCCCAGTGTATCTCTCTAGACACCACAGAGATGAGGATACTGAACAAAAGACCTATTTGCTTGACACGTTATATCTATTATCTAATAGTTTATTAGTCTCCCGATTTTAATCTGTACAGCATAAAACATGTAATTCAGAAATATTGAATAAATGATCGGATCATAGTTTACACTCACAAGATATTCAGAGTAAAGTGACCTTGTAGAGATTTAACTTCATAAATTTATCAACAACTTGAATTCACGATTTTAAATACATAAAAAAAGCTTTACGAATTCATGTAATGCTGTTACTGAAGCTTCATCTTCATTCGTGCAACTTCTATAAATTGCTAATCACCAAATTATAATGTCAAGCACTACGCGGGGAATCTTCAAACGAACAACTTTATAAGAACTACGCGAAAAGACAAAAACGGACTTCTCGCGGAAGGAAATAACTTGATCCCAAAATTAACAAACTACGAGTTATATATCTTATATTATGGCTGTACGGACTTCAAATCCGTGTATTCATTTAAGTTCGTACAGCACGACTCATTGTGATTACAACCCGAAGTCTCTTAGCCGTACAACAAACAAGTTATCATATCTCCAGCACCGATTCTTAATCCGGACACAAACTGCAACGAAGTTTTACTGACATTATCTCTTCCTGATCGGAGAGAAGAATTGACTCACAGTATTGGGCGTGTATACTAGTGATACGAATTATTCGAGAACATGACAAGAACAACAGCTGATCTCACTACTAGGAAAACTCACTCACTGGACTGTAAGAAGCGTCAGCGTGAGTATGCTAGGTATACAACAAATAATGGATTATAAAAACCAATAATTCTATAACAGAACAATAGCAAGTCGCTGTCACTTCGCATCGTGGCAACCACACCCACACAGCTCGACCTCTCTCATGGCTCAAATATTACTCAAAACCATCAAAGCAAATATGTCTCGGTGGCAAAACACAGGGAACTAAAGGTCACTACGCAAACTCCCAAAGCTAGTAGAGGTCACCTTTAGTTGTTGTAAATAGCTCGATAGGA